TCTTCTATCAGATCTTCCTAACTCACCTGTGTAAATTTAAACAAAGCAAATGCTCCAACCGAGTTCTTTACGAACACCCCACCCAACATCGAATAGATCTGAGTATTGAAGCAGGCATCTCCCAAACCTAATAGGAAGGCGCACAATAAGGCGATCCATGTACGAGGAGGATTGAAGAACGAAATACTATCGGTATCATTGAAGGGGGCATTATCGGGCAAGTTGAAGAAGATTAAAATGAAGGCCACAATATGGATTAAATAGCCAGCAATGACAATGGGATCACGACCAAAACGTGTTGTCTTCGAAGCCAAAATGCCAAAGAGACTGCCTCCAAAGACTTCGCCAACACCAATGCAAATGCCAGCCAAGCCCATGATTTCTTTGGGAGTATCGGAGATTTTCATTGTAAAACCAATCGAGGGGCCATAGACGCCACTGAAGAAGGAAAGCTCGAAACCTAGGAAGAAATTGAGATTAAACAAATGTATCCATATTCAAATTGCATTTCTCCTTACCGGTATACAAGAAAGCCATACTGAGCAGCAACATATCTCGGGTCATAAACAATTGTCCTGCCGAACGGAAAGCCACTCGAGCACTATCCCATGGCGTCTGGGGTTGACGTAATTCCGTATCCACGGTTGAATTGTCCGGCACATAACGCAATGTTGCCAAGAAGATTACACCCAACACAGCCACTCCAGTTAGAACACCAATAACCAGCGAACGGGTCTGATAGTCAATTTGATCCTTATTTTGAAATTCGTAGTACACAAAGAGATTGCCAAAGAACATACTGCACTGTAGCAAAGCCCAAAAAATGCCAGAATTCCTGGATATGTTGCCCGAGTCACTGCATCGAGCCAAGAAACTTCCCTGGCCGGTCCATGTGATGGCAGCACCCACACCCAAGAGGGCACTGGCCACATATAACAGCCATGTGCTAGGAAACAGAAAGGTGACCACAAAGAATCTGAAATAAAGGAAAAGTACGGGATTAACATAGATGATTTAAAGGTCATAGTGCTTTGTCTATTTAAATGTATTTTTGTCGGAGTAAATGGGATATTGAACAAATGCTTTGAACAGAGTCGGTAAGACAATTCAATTTATCGGCTGTTTGCACACATACGAATTCCACTCAATCTATATCATCCAACCTATCAAACCATCTGCTATATTAGCCTTTAAGACTACTATGAGTCTTCAAAACTTACGTATAAGTACAAGCTCCCACTACCATAGCGGTACGTGGTCCAGTAAATGCAATAAAGGATGGGGCAAGCCAATTGAAGAGAGCAAATGTGGCATAAATAACAGCCAAACTGGTATAACCGTCTCCATTGAAGCTGGGATCGTCATCGTGAATGCTAACCAATAGGGTTTTCTGTAATGAAATAAAGATAAAACAATAAATTGTTATAAATCGTGGCATATTTTTAGGCTGATGAGATACACAAGCATTGAAATAAAATAAGTTAGTTATATTTTATTGAGTCTTTTTTTTATCAATAAGATGACAATTAATAACAATATAAGGGAATCCTTAAGACTATAATGTATTATCCTAATGTTGAGAAAAGTTATACAGCATCATGCTTCATTTAATAAAAAGACAATAAAATGTAAAAATCTTGTGTGTTAATGGACGCCCTTGCTCCCGGGACTTTTACATAAAGATTGAAATAAAATTACAATAGATTTGGTAATTGTTATACAAATGAAAATGTTTAAACTGTTATATTTTATTTTTGTTGGCGTTATGTAGCTTTGTTCATATTTCGTTGCTAAAACTAGGGCGATTTGTTCAGCTTAATTTTTTGATGAATTTGTTAAAAACAAATTCCTATTGGAGTTAATGACACTGGCATGTTTTGCGTATGCGGAATTATTTTGCTTTTGTTGGTATTGTTTTTCGGTTGAAATGAAAGACATAAATTTAACCCACATCAAGATTTTTTTCCTTTAGAAGATACATATGAACGTCGCTCATTTGAAAATACATTTATAGGTAGGTTATCACATGATCGTTTTGCCGAATTTTATCTTTTCTTACGTGCGCCAAATTGCGGCTTAACATTTATCCCCTAATTATATTTGAAATAATGAATGATGTCTCCAAATTTGTCCAATTTTGAAATGCGCGAAAACCAACTCAAATAAATGGACACGAGAAAATGGATATTATGAGTTTTTAATAATTATGTTTACAAAATGTCATATCTCTGACGACAATAGTTGTGAAAAACTGTCAATTAAATGATTGCCAAGATATGTATGTCTGTTTGACTGTCTGTATGTATGCAAGTGGAATAAGTGAAAGCTATACAGGCATTTATTTCAAGACTTAGCCATCAATGAATCAATGCATTCATTCATTCACTCATTCATTGATTGATGGACAGCTGTAACACGCTGCAACGCTTAATCAGATAAAATGTAGCAAGCTGCAATGAGACGTTGCATGACAAACGAATAAAGAAAATAAAATGAATCAATAATTAAATTGATCGCTTCAGTATTAGAAAAGCGATATGAACACCTTTTTCAGATGTAATTCGAAACATTTTAGTTATAGTTCACAACTTTCTATTTGTAAATCGAAGATTTTATTTGTATTTCGAAACATTTTAATTCTAATTCGAAAATTTCATTTCTAATAAATTCAATAATTAAATTGATCGCTTCAGTATTAGAAAAGCGATATGAACACCTTTTCCAGATGTAATTCGAAACATTTTAGTTATAGTTCACAACTTTCTATTTGTAAATATATTTTATGTCTGAAGGACTTTTTGTATTGAAAATGGGCAATGTAGGTCCACGTCTTCGTATAGCATCCATATAACGGTACCTCCCAATATTCGTTACTGTGTTGATTTTAGCGATATTATTCACCGGAATTGTTTCAAATTTGGTATTTGAAGTTCGTAATGGATACTACAGCCTATGAGAGAAGGTTGTCTGTGCAGGTCCACATCTTCGTATAGGCCCCATATAACGGTTCCTCCCGATATACAGTATTTTGATGATTTTAGCTAATTATTCACTGTATTTTTTTAAGTTTCGCATTTGAGTATTGTAATGGCTTATGACAAAAGTTACCATGTCATCGTATAGACCCTAATATAACAGATTTATTTGGTATTTTTAAGATTTTAACAGAATTTTTAACGGATTTTATTGTTTTTGAGAATTGCCAATTTCGTTACAAACGGTGTTCGGCCCGGCCGAACTTACAGCTTTTTTACTTGCGCATTTCTTTCTTTGATCCGCAATAAATGTAATATTTTCTTAAATGTATTTTACCAAAATAGAATAATACTTACATTTTCATCAACTTCTTGCTTTTTTTTTTTGGTTACCTTTTTCCGCGCAAAAATCACTACATACTTTGTTTTCGACAACATACTACCTATCGTGTACAACATCGTGTAGAAACAGTTATATTTCGATATCGGTCCAGATATGGCCCAGATCGAAGGCTTTCTATAAATTAACAAAGATGTGGTAAAACTAAACAAAATTGTCTGAAAATACAATTGATATATAATAGAGTACATTTATTAGTACATTGACAAGTTTTTTTTACACAAGTACAATACAAAAAACAATATTATATTTTTGAATAATAAAAAAATAAAAATAATAAGTAATTCTATAAATAATATATCAAAAAGAGTAAACTAATTTGCTACAACTATGTTATTCTTTTTTTTACTTCGTACATGTGAAGTTTATATATTTATGTTTGTATATATAATAATGGGTATGTATATATATATATAAATTTTTGTAAATATTGTATTAAAATATCAATTCGAATCGATACAAAAGAACAATGTTGACAAATATTTTATAATAATGCCAGTAATAATGATTACGCTAAAAAAATATTGACGTGTATACTCGCATAATAAATTTAGTTAACAATAAAGTTCGGCTAGGCCGACAACTCTTGTGTTTTTACAAAAAAAAAACCCTTCACTTAAAGTGTTTAAATTCAAATTGTTTTTCATGATTTTTTCAACATTTTTAAGGGATTACGAAAGTGGAAAATAGAGGATGTAATAAAGAGGTAGATTTATTCGAATGTAATACAATCCCAAATAAAGTGCGAATCAACGAACGAATAAATCACAAGATTAAGTTCTGACCCACAAAGTTCTTTGCTAAGTTCTTTAGCTAAAGTTTTCATTGACATGTTCAAAGTTTGGGGAACGAAATTGTTGTTGCAATCCGCTCAGTGCATGATCGTGATCGGCTTTCATTAATTTATTAATTTTATTTATTTTTTAATTAATTAGTAAGGGATAAAGCCTGACCATTTTGTAACAACAAAATACTATGGTATCCCGAACAAACAAGCTAACACTGTTTTAATTTATTTCTTATAACATAATCGCCCTTATTCTATTTGGCGGCGCCGACATCGTTGGAATGGCATCACTTGTTTTCAATGTCTACACCAATTTGGTATTTTGTAACAGGGCCGACTGTTTATCGATAATTTGAATCTGTCATCACTAATATTTGCGACAGCTGATATACATTGTAGCAAATTTAGTTTAAACCCAGTAAGAAAGGCCAAAGTCGGGATGGGCCGACTTTATGATACCCTACACCACTTTGCATATATAGTCGTAGTATGCTACATCGAAAACTGTAACGACCAAATAAAAGCCTATACAAACCAACATTTTCTTAAAAAAATCCAAAAACCCTTACATTGTAATATTTATACTTAATATGCCGACTCGCAATAAACGCCCTCGTACCGAGAGAATAAGGGCTAATACCACGCATTAACCATAAAATTTGTTTGCACTTCATTTTAGTTGCATTTATTAATTCTTAAAGAAGAAGAGTAGAACATATAGTTTCTATGATACTGAGACATTTTCAAGGAATTGTCTAACTCATTTTCGGTAATTAACAAAATTTGTCGGTAAGTTAGCGACGAAATCAAAGTAGTCGCTAAGGGCTAGCCCTTAGCCCTTTCCGTTTTGGTATAGCCCCCATATAGCGGTACCTCCCTATATTCAGTATTTTGATGATTTTAGAAACATTTTTCCACAGATTTGTCTTAAAAATGTTATTTGTGGGTCATAATGGGTTCTAGCTCCGGTAGCGAAACAATGTATGTATAGGTCCACGTTGTTGTATAGCCCCATATAACGGTACATCCCGATATTCTGTATTTTGATCAAAATTGGTATTTGCAGTTCATAATGGGTTCTAGCCCGGTGGTAAAACATGGAATATTTAGTTCCATGTTTTCCTAAAGCGCACATATAATTATACCCACCGATATTCGGTATTTTAATAATCCTAGTCACATTTAAACACATAATTGTTTCAAATTTGGTATTTTAAAAATTTTGATAGATAACAATCCTTGAAGTATTGCCTCTAGAGATTCCCGTTTTGGTATGGCCCCATATAACAGCTTTACTCAATGTATGATTTTTTGATAAATTTAACTGCATTATGAAAAAACGGTCTTACAGGTATACGAAGTTTAAAGTGAAACCCGCATGACTTTAGATACTTTTATATAAAAATGTTTCCTTTACCCTACGGTGGAGGGTATTAAATATATTTTTTTTACTTGTTTATATCAAAATTTTGGGTTTCAAAGTCACGGATTTTTGTTGGTGGTCTGGTCTTTTTCCTTTAATTGAAGATTTTTTTATAAGTTTTTTTTTCATATAACTATATACGAACTGTGTCAATCTTTGGGAAACCTGTAGATCGTCCTCAAACTACGAAAGAACTTCAGATAGTGATCTATTAACTTAGGAGAATATAGATTCTTCCAATCGGATATAAAACAAGTCATAAAAATCGGTCTCACTGAATGGTAGTTTTAGAGTAATTAGTTATTTAAATATATGTATGTATTTTGAGCAATGATTTCATAATTACTTTTGTTTTCGGAGAGGTTTGGGATCTTCAACTTATGGAGTGAACGGATCACAGACTTAATATATTCTTCATTATTTTTCTCTTATCCAAATAAAAGTGAAGGATTTTAGTTAATAACAATATTGTATACAATGAATAAATATGTATAAAATTTATGTACGTATGTAATAAAGACCGATATCTGCATTTTTACTTTTAATGTTTTAAAAATATTGAGATTTTTAAAGACTATTAAGTCACTTTAACATAAGAAAAAAAAAATGGTAAAAATAGGAAGGTAACTACAGACATTTTTTTTAAAAATTAAATTTATTAAACTTTCCATATTTTGAAAATGAGGTAACAATTCGTAAATAATATAGTTCATAAGGATTCAATATTCCATTTTCATAGCTGGAAAATGGTGCATAAAGAATTAAAGATAAAACACTAGGTGTTTATTCCAAGACTTTATAGAACAGATGAAAATAAATAAATATGCATGTTTTAAGGTTTTATATGGAAGTGAATACATGAATAGGTATATTTTCATTAGTTTGTGTTGAAAATCGACGAAAATACCAAATATCGGGACTTATAATCTCAGACCACAATAACCGTTAGAGTTGTGAAAACCAAAAATTTGCAGCAGAAGTATAAATAGGTTTAACAAAATAATGTTTCTTTAGCAGTTGATTCGTTGTTATAGTACTTTCAGAATGAATTTAGGTTGCCTTAAGGTGAGAATACATAAAACGCTTTTGACTGGCTTAAGTCATCGCTTGGCTTCTTCGTAGAGGAATAAATGAGTTTTAGGTTGACTTAGTTCGAGTTTGGCCCTACGCTCCTTTGTTCTAATCCCAAGAAACCAGCCCATGCCTTAAGCCAATCAAAAAAACTTTTTAGGTATTCTCACCTTTAGTTAGCATTTCGAAATATATAATAAAAATCTCAATATTCTGAAAACATTTCCAAGCTTTTTGATAGATATGGGTCAGTGTTGTCATTTTATTTTTTTTAACTATTTCCAATTCTTAAAAACTTACTTATATATGTAGGTTGCTTTACAAATAGCTATCTTCAAGTGATCATCCTTTTAATTTTGTGAGTTTCTTTGTTTTTCATTTTGATTACAATTGATTTGTGTAGTTTGTTTTTATTTTTCTTATAATTCAGTTTATTGACATTACATTTAATTATTGTCTCGGAAGACTGTGGCGACAAATAATTAAAAAAGAAATACTAAATACTTTATAATCTTTCAACTCGTTACTTACAAAACCAAAAAAAAAATGATAATAATTAAAAAAGAACATAGTACAGAAAATGTTCTGACCAAAGAGGAACATTTCTATTAGCTTAAACATCTAAGTAATATTAGGTATATAAAATTCTAACAATAACAATTTCAGTTTTTTTTAATTTCTTTCCTTCTTACAACTAGCTTTGCAATTCATTTCTCCTAAAACACAAATATTTTTTCTAATATTTTAATACAGTGTAAAAAAAACTGAAAATAATAATACACGCACATTTCACTTATTGCACACAACAAATTATGGAAAATTATGAAAATGAAATTTCATTTGTGGAAAATAGAAAAAGAAAAACGATTGGAATGATTTTACTGCTTCAGTGGTAAATTTGCCATCCTCATAATCATCTCGTACTCTTATTTATCCAAAGATGATATCGATGCTGAGATTTCGGAAACATCTCTCGATTCTTCACGGGCTCTTCGTTTAGCAGACCATTCCACAATACAGAAACATGCGGCTCCAATGGTGCCGAATACAACGAGGATGCCCAGCTGGGCTCTTAATCCCAAATGCGAGGAATAAAAGAAACTAATGGCAGCAGCAACAGACTGAAAGACACAAGAAATGGTAGTCAAATTTTGTATTGAGAGAAAAATTTAAGATCATCATAGAAGGTTTGTCTTCTCATAGAAGACCAGTTGGTCTTATCATAGAAGATCAGTTGATCTTATCATAGAAGATCAGTTGATCTTATCATAGAAGATCAGTTAATCTTATCATAGAAGATCAGTTGGTCTTATCATAGAAGACCAGTTGGCCTCCTTATAGAATAGAAGACAAGTTGGGCAACTCGTAGAAGACCATTTTGTCTTCTCATCGAAGACCATTTGATCTTCTCATAGAAGACCTGATGGTTTTCTTATAAGAGGCCAATTGGTGATCTGCTCTCCTATGGGCATAACTACTGAACTTATAGAAGACAGTCTACTTATATTCCAAGAGAAGAGGTATTAGTCTTCTTCTATCAGATCTTCCTAACTCACCTGTGTAAATTTAAACAAAGCAAATGCTCCAACCGAGTTCTTTACGAACACCCCACCCAACATCGAATAGATCTGAGTATTGAAGCAGGCATCTCCCAAACCTAATAGGAAGGCGCACAATAAGGCGATCCATGTACGAGGAGGATTGAAGAACGAAATACTATCGGTATCATTGAAGGGGGCATTATCGGGCAAGTTGAAGAAGATTAAAATGAAGGCCACCATATGGATTAAATAGCCAGCAATGACAATGGGATCACGGCCAAAACGTGTTGTCTTCGAAGCCAAAATGCCAAAGAGACTGCCTCCAAAGACTTCGCCAACACCAATGCAAATGCCAGCCAAGCCCATGATTTCTTTGGGAGTATCGGAGATTTTCATTGTAAAACCAATCGAGGGGCCATAGACGCCACTGAAGAAGGAAAGCTCGAAACCTAGGAAGAAATTGAGATTAAACAAATGTATCCATATTCAAATTGCATTTCTCCTTACCGGTATACAAGAAAGCCATACTGAGCAGCAACATATCTCGGGTCATAAACAATTGTCCTGCCGAACGGAAAGCCACTCGAGCACTATCCCATGGCGTCTGGGGTTGACGTAATTCCGTATCCACGGTTGAATTGTCCGGCACATAACGCAATGTTGCCAAGAAGATTACACCCAACACAGCCACTCCAGTTAGAACACCAATAACCAGCGAACGGGTCTGATAGTCAATTTGATCCTTATTTTGAAATTCGTAGTACACAAAGAGATTGCCAAAGAACATACTGCACTGTAGCAAAGCCCAAAAAATGCCAGAATTCCTGGATATGTTGCCCGAGTCACTGCATCGAGCCAAGAAACTTCCCTGGCCGGTCCATGTGATGGCAGCACCCACACCCAAGAGGGCACTGGCCACATATAACAGCCATGTGCTAGGAAACAGAAAGGTGACCACAAAGAATCTGAAATAAATGAAAAGTACGGGATTAACATAGATGATTTAAAGGTCATTGTGTTTTGTCTATTTAAATGTATTTTTGTCGGAGTAAATGGGATATTGAACAAATGCTTTGAACAGGGTCGGTAAGACAATTCAATTTATCGGCTGTTTGCACACATACGAATTCCACTCAATCTATATCATCCAACCTATCAAACCATCTGCTATATTAGCCTTTAAGACTACTATGAGTCTTCAAAACTTACGTATAAGTACAAGCTCCCACTACCATGGCGGTACGTGGTCCAGTAAATGCAATAAAGGATGGGGCAAGCCAATTGAAGAGAGCAAATGTGGCATAAATAACAGCCAAACTGGTATAACCGTCTCCATTGAAGCTGGGATCGTCATCGTGAATGCTAACTAATAGGGTTTTCTGTAATGAAATAAAGATAAAACAATAAATTGTTATAAATCGTGGCATATTTTTAGGCTGATGAGATACACAAGCATTGAAATAAAATAAGTTAGTTAGTTATATTTTATTGAGTCTTTTTTTATTAATAAGATGACAATTAAAAACAATATAAAGGAATCCTTAAGACTATAATGTATTATCCTAATGTTGAGAAAAGTTATACAGCATCATGCTTCATTTAATAAAAAGACAATAAAATGTAAAAATCTTGTGTGTTAATGGACGCCCTTGCTCCCGGGACTTTTACATAAAGATTGAAATAAAATTACAATAGATTAGGTAATTGTTATACAAATGAAAATGTTTAAACTGTTATATTTTATTTTTGTTGGCGTTGTGTTGCTTTGTTCATATTTCGTTGCTAAAACTGGGGTGATTTGTTCAGCTTAATTTTTTGATGAATTTGTTAAAAACAAATTCCTATTGGAGTTAATGACACTGGCATGTTTTGCGTATGCGGAATTATTTTGCTTTTGTTGATATTGTTTTTCGGTTGAAATGAAAGACATAAATTTAAACCACAGCAAGATTTTTTTCCTTTAGAAGATACATATGAACGTCGCTGCCCCATTTGAAAATACATTTATAGGTAGGTTATCACATGATCGCTTTGCCGAATTTTATCTTTTCTTACGTGCGCCAAATTGCGGCTTAACATTTATCCCCTAATTATATTTGAAATAATGAATGATGTCTCCAAATTTGTCCAATTTTGAAATGGGCGAAAACCAACTCAAATAAATGGGCACGAGAAAATGGATATTAAGAGTTTTTAATAATTATGTTTACAAAATGTCATATCTCTGACGACAATAGTTGTGAAAAACTGTCAATTAAATGATTGCCAAGATATGTATGTCTGTTTGATTGTTTGAATGTATGAAAGTGGAATAAGTGAAAGCTATACAGGCATTTATTTGAAGACTTAGCCATCAATGAATCAATGCATTCATTCATTCACTCATTCATTGATTGATGGACAGCTGTAACACGCTGCAACGCTTAATCAGATAAAATGTAGCAAGCTGCAATGAGACGTTGCATGACAAACGAACCAATAATTAAATTGATCGCTTCAGTATTAGAAAAGCGATATGAACACCTTTTCCAGATGTAATTCGAAACATTTTAGTTATAGTTCACAACTTTCTATTTGTAAATCGAAGATTTTATTTGTATTTCGAAATATTTTAATTCTAATTCGAGAATTTCATTTGTAATTTGAATTATTTCATTTGAAATTCGAAAAACTTCAATTGTCAGTCGAATTTTTTAATTATTAATTCTAATATTTCCACATGAATTGGTTACTCCAAAAACTAATTTGAATTGACATTTAGTATAGACTAATTTGAATTACAATAAATATATGTAATTCGAACTTCAAATTAATAGAATCGAATAAAAACCAGTAAAGAAAGTCCTAAAGTCGGGCGGGGCCGACTTTATGATACCCTACACCACTTTGCTAATTTGGTAGAGCTCCATATAACAATTAAATGTTTTTATGTGAGAATTCAATCATACACGCTATGATTATAATTATAATTTAAAGTTCAAAGGGCTAAATATACCAAAGCATTTGTATCTTTTAACTTCGGACACAGATAAAGATATATATGGGAGCTATATCCAAATCTGAAGCGATCTCGATAAAATTTGGCAAAGATATTTCTGAGCTTTATTTGATATATTTCCCTGAATATCGTTGTTACGTAGTGCATATTACGGCTGTGGGTAACAAATACAACAAATCGGATGAATATATATGGGAGCTATATCTGAACTGATCTTCACCAAATTTCGCATACTAGCTTCTAGACTCAATTCGGTCGTATGTGCCATCCATCCATTTTGGGCAAATATTAGACGTTTGGTGCACAATATATGGTAAATCGGACGAAATTATATATGGGAGCTATATCCAAATCTAAACCGATCTCGATAAAATTCGATCGACTCAGAATGTGATTCTATGCACATCATCAAAAGGAACTATGGGTCTATCTCGTTTTGTGTGTTTTTTGGGCTGCAGGAATAATTCAGGCGCAAACAGTCAATGGTGTTCGGTATCGTGAAATAACAACCATTTTTTTCTTTGGCACTAATTATGGCCTTCAAACGGCCAATGAAACCGTCACATTCAGCCCGAATGTTGCTCTGCGGTATTTTGGCCCATTCCCGGCGAAGCGCCTGCTTGAGATGATCGACACTTTGGTATTTTTTAGTGCCAACTTTGCTTTCCAAAATACTCCAGACACAATAGTCCAACGGATTGGTATCAGGAGATTTTGGTGGCCATTGTGAGCTGGAAATAAAGCGAGGAACATCATTTCGTAACCATTCTTGGGTGGCGCGTGCTGAGTGCGATGGTGCTGAATTCTGTCGGAATGTCCAAGGTCTGCGGCCAAACTGCTTGCGTGCCCAAGACTTTAATACACCCTCAAGAATATTTTCGCGATAATATTCGGCATTTATTCTGATGCCACGGTCGATTAATACAAACGGAGTGCGACCATCGGCTGTTATGGAAGCCCACACCATCACCATGGCGGACGCTTGAGTTCTGGTGGCCAACCGAAGGTGCACATTTTCAGCTGACCTCTTTGGCAAGTAAAAACAATCATTTTGTTTGTTTGCAAACTGCATGACAACGAATGTTTTCTCATCGGAGAAAATCAAATTCGGCAGTTCACCACTTTCGGCCAAGCGAAGCAACTCTTTAGCTCTTTTGAGTCTATTTTCTTTCTGTTGCGGTGTAAGATCTTCCACTGTTTTGAATTTCAATGGCTTTACCCCGAGCTCATTTTTCAATATTTGCCGAATGAATATTGTAATATGTTCAGCCCACGAGTAATTTTCCGGTCACTACGACGCGGGCCTTAATTAAGTCGCTTCTTTACTTTTCGAACCATTTCTGCTGATGTTGCTGTTTCCTTCCGTCCACTTCCTTGACGTCGGGCTACGCTACCGGTATCACGGTAACTAGAGATGGCACGAGACACAAAATATTTATTCACATTTAAATGCTGAAGTGTTCTAACCATAGCCACTTGTGGTTTTCCAGCCAAATAAAAAGAAATCACACTATCACGCTTGAATTCCATCACGTATAACTTTTTTCTGGAAAATTCTCACCAAAATACTTTTGTAAGCTGTCACTGAAATAATTGTAACAGCTGTCGGACGAGTGGCTTAGAAATGACAGCAGTCTGAATTTGGTTGCAGTTTTTTCATCTCACCCTGTATATAAGTATTTGAAGGAGTTACAAACAGAATGACAAAGTTAATATGCCCTCAACACTATGCAGGGAGTGTATAAAAACCGAGATTTTACTTTTACACCAAACTTGAAAGCTAAGGGAATCGATTATTACTTCCCATTCCCATTCCCTAATACTCCCTCTAAAAGTTTTCCGTCTGGTGGCCATAAGACATAGAGTATAAAAATCGTTGCTCGTTATTGACCTTAAAAGATAGTTTTTTTCTATAAAGATAAATGACTCTTTTGCTTGTTTTATGAGAAGAATAAACAAAGAACTTTCAAGCACCTGCTCTCAATTCATTTTATCATAAACATCCGATATTAAGTATTTTTCAATTATTGAAGCGGAGGAATGCGTCTCTACAATTAAAAGATAAATGTAACCACTTGACACAGTCGAGTTGGTTTATATTGATAAGATTCCAACCGTCTGCAACCTGAGAGTGAAAATCACATTTCGGCAAATTGTTTAAATTTTATCCCCAAAGCCGAATTGAAAACCCCTCACATTTAATCTATAAATATGGGTCATTGATAAGTGTCGAACAGATATTTAATATTATTTCAATGAAGACCTCCAATTCTGCAAATACTTTTTGCCATTGGAATTGCAAAAAAATAATCTTTTGTTTGTAAACAAATCGAAAGTCATATTTCTGACGATTGCTACGACAACATAATCTAATAAAAGCTGACTACTTATTGGTTTATTAACCTTAACCGATATAATGCGTGATTGGCTTTAATGTATAATTAGAAGTAGGAATAGAAATAACGTTTGATAAGGTAGATAATTATCAACATTTTATATAAGGGGGAAATTATTTAGATAACAATTAAAGTATTTTTGGTGGGTTTATGTATTTCTGTAGATAGGCCTCTATATGGCCTTCTTCTTTTTGTTTGTTGTTGTCTTTTCTTAAAATCCAAGGGGTCAAGGCTCAGCAGAAGAAGTTATTTTTGTTGGTGGAATTAAGAGAGGTAGAATTCTACATTATTATTAAATTTACTTTGTTTTACTCAATTTAAAACAAGTAAGCAAAGGCTACAGTCGAGCGGGGCCGACCGTTGAATACCCTACAACACTATAATAAATGATACAGTTTATATAGGCGAGATACTCGAAATTCCACAAGACATTGTGACAAATAATAAAAGAAAACCATTAGGTTTCGTTCTCTAATTTTCGAATAATAGCAACTTAAACTAATTTGCTCATTTCCAATTTATTGGTAAATGGTCTTCCTATTCCAATATTTTCCAAAGACCTATATTATCTTAAAAGTGGCAAAAGATTAACATTTATTATTGGTTTTTGACTGAAACGCATCTATATGAGATACAGACATTTGACTATATTCTTCAACGAAATCAGTCTAACGAAATAGTCAGAAGTGCGTCTTTCCTGTATTTGTGAATTCTCCAAAAAGTCACTGGAATGGACCTTTTCGTATTTTGTCTACAAAAGTTGGCAAATTTCTTTACACATTGAATATTTTTGGATGGCCATCCAAAACTGCTTGGCTTTTGCAATGTCCGGTAACCCCCACTCAAATGTGCGTGAGGGTCGGGCGATAATTTCGACCTGCTGACAATTTTGCAGTTTTTTGGTCCATTTCAACCCCTAAATATATGGTGATCATCTCCAAAAAGAGTAGGCTTCTATTCTGACCCTCATCTTATCCCCAAGCAA